TGCGTACCGATAAACTCCTACTAGGATTACCTCTTCATGCTCCGTCGTTCCTCGTGGCTCATCTGGAAGAAGGAACAAGACGTTACTTCTATCAGCTAAGCCTTTCAGTTTACCAGCTATCCGTATTCCTCCTGTTTGGATTGTTGACCTGTATTCTCCCGACTCCTTCGTCATTAAACCTGTTGTTTTGTCACGCATCCTTGTGTCTCCTGAGTATTTGCTGACAGTGACATAGAAAGGGGATCTTATTATAATATTACCACCCCTTAGGTTTCCACCCACGGCAAAGCCATTTTGTTTTTGTAAGCAACAACGGCGTACCAGTTCTAATGCCATGGTGAAAGTTCAAGCAAAGCATGAGAACTGTTCTGTCTTTTGGCTGCACTGACAAGCACAGAACATTATTTAGAGTCCCAGCCTCAGAGGAGACCAGAGCAGTGGATTTATTTATTTATTTACTGTATATTATATGCTGCTGCCAAACAGATTTAATATAAACATGCCATTTCCCAGCTGTTTACCTTCACAGACATAACCGACTGTTTTTGTAACTCGTGTGTTTTTAACAAACTTGTGTATATCTGACAGTTTAAGCGTAATAAGACATGAAAGAAAACTTAGTTTAGTGTGACAGATGCTTTCTATGTGCGTTTTTTGGATGTGTGTGTGCTCAGAAATCCATATATCATTTAATATGCTGATTTGGTGCTCAAGCAACATTTTATTTTATTATTATCAATGTTGAGAACAGTTGTACTGCTCAATAGTTTGGTGGCCGTTGTGATACATTTTTCTTTGATGAACAGAAAGTTCAAAAGTCTACTGTCACATTTGATTAATTTAATGAATCCTTGCTGAATAAACCTATTCATTTCTTTTTTTTTTTTTAAATGTAACTTTAAAAAAATTAAAGTGTAGGCTTATATGTATTACAAATTGTCTTGTCAGTCACAACCTACAGGTAATGTTTTTGTTTTTGTATATATGTGTATGTGTATGTGTATATATATATATATATTAACATATCACCAGGTCACTACTGATTCCCACCCCTATTATATTGTTTATAATTTTAGACCTGGGATGCACTGTGAGTTCCCAGAGGCATCACACACACATACTGTATCATAGACATCATTTAGTATGATTTATATGCTTTTTCCTCACTAGGACCCAAAAAAATGTCCCCACAAGATAAAAAATGTTAGGTATTACTATGCTTGTGTGGATATTTGGTCCCCACTGTGTTGTGAATACAAGGACCAAACACTCACAGAGCAGGGTATAGGTCAGATTACAGACATTTTGTCAACAGAGTCCTTCTACACATTCTGCCACACCTTTAACTCATTTGCGCTAATCAATAATGCAGTGCTCCCAGCACATTTATCTCACTGTTTCTGTTGCCATGGCAACATAACAACCCCAGCATTGAGGGAGATGAAAAGATCAGTCAGAAGAAGATAACAGAAAAAAAAATCAGATTAAGAGATGGGAACTACTGAATCAAAGAGCCAATTTTATTCTAATGTGACACCAAGACATCAACATATAGAGGTGAAATATCTCCCATCTCTGTAATTCAGTTTGAGCATCTTGCCATGTAGCAGATGCCTCTTATGCAAAGCCAATTACAATTGTGGAACCACCTACCTGCAGGAACCTGACATTGCCAAAAAGCACAATAGATCAGGTGATCTGAAGTTCACCCTGACTTGTAACTGAACTGGCTACCACCAGCATCCATGCCATTATTTCAGCTTTTGCAATTCTTTATTGTTAATTTAGGATATGACCTCGCTCTGACTCAGGGTCAGTACTTCATCATCTTTTGTAACATCAAACCACCAGATCTGTCAGATCTCTATACTGCTGACTATGGAGTAAAAAAAGAGCTTGTCTTTCAGCCCAGTCATTGAATCCAAGTGGGCATTCTCAGTTCTCTCTGACACAGAGGACCAGCTGTTCTCAAAGGGAACATTCACCTGTACCTAAAGGATATGCCTTCACAAAACCGACCTAAAACGTAAGAACTTCACCCTCACACTGCTAAACATTTGGAAAACATCTGGAATTGCATCTTTATATTATCCTAGGTCTGGTCTGGCCCTTTATTATTTTATTTCTCATTTCATCTAATTTTTGTTGTTTCACTAACTCAACTTTTTAGTAATGAGATTAGATCCAGAGGAAACTTTTACTTCTCGTTTCTCACAATAAGCTCACTTGTGTTTTCTCTAGAATTACAGAAGATATCTCAACATTAAGTCCACTTATATACATAATGTTTCTTTATTACTTGAACTAAACCATTAATCAATCATTTTCATATATAAACTAGACTGACTGAAATCACAGCAGTCCAATTTTTGACTATTTGATGCAATTGACCCTTCGCAAGTAGCCCTGATGTTACACACTCCGGTACAGTAGTGATGGAAAAGAGAGAAAGAGAAAAAGAAAGAGAGAGAGAGAGAGACCCTTGGCAAAGAGCTTGATTGACAGGTGATCTGACCAATCATAACGCCAAATCTGCCATATTGTCCGACAAGCAAATCAGACAAGAGAGTAGATTAACTTCGGTGGACTTGAAAATGGTCTTTTTCCAGAGTTTAAATAAAATACGTTCTGATGTTCATTCATGTTTATTTCATGCTTTAAGTAAATATGAAAAGACGATTGGTTCACGTGCCACTTGAACTGAAGCACTACAGTGATCTGTCACAACACATTAAAGAGCCACAAAACGGTATTTATTGTTTGAATTTCCTTTAAAAAAATGAAAAAATTGGAAAGCTAAGACTTTGTTTCTTACCAGAAGTAACCTGCTCTGTCTTGTCTATCGGCGTGTTGTCATTTTTCTCTTTGCTCCGTAATGTATTTTTTTACTGCATGAGAACATGATGTGTAGTGTGAGAGCGGCATGGCTTGTCGGACATAGCAACAGTAACTAAGGAGGGCGGGTTTTTGCGAAGGGTCAGTTGTAGCTCATCTTTTTCTAGCAGGTATTGTGCGCATGTACAGAAAGACAGAGATACATGCAAGGAACGTAATACAAGCTAGATATTGTACCAATCTGTATCAAATATTCATTTGTTGTTAGACATATAGCGCCGTAACGCCCCGGGTATCCCGAGTTCGATTCCCGGCTCCTGTACCCCCCCCCCCCCCCCCCCCCCCCCCCCTTCCCTCCCTTGCCCTATACTTTCCTTTCCT